GTGCTGGGATTACAGGCATGAGCTTCCGCATGCAGCATGAAATTCTATCATATGCTACAACACGGATGAATCTTGAGGACACACATAATGCTAGGTGAAATAAGCCATTTACAAAGACAAATACTGTGTAATTCCACTTATACCTAGAAAAGTCAAAATCATAGAAACAGAAAGCAGAATGGTGGTTCTGAGGAGCTGGAAGGAGGGGGGAAAAAGGAGTTATTGTTTAGTGTGTGCAGAGTTCAGTTTTGCAAGACGAAAAGAGTTCTGTGGATGATAGTGGTGATGGAAGCACAAGAGTTCTGTGACGACAGTGGTGAATGTATTTAATGCCAGTGAAATGTACATTTAAAAATGGTTATGATGGCAAATTTTAAGTACTTTTTAACCACAATTAAAATAAAATTAAAAAAATTAAAGCATATCCCTTGTTTAACCAAGAAAAAAATAAAGAAATATTAAGCTGTTCTTATCTCTGACATGGCAAGAAACCATATTAAAGGTTCTTTAAAATTAAAGTGCCTGGCCAGGTGTGATGGCTCACACCTGTAATCCCAACACTTTGGGATGCCCTGGAGAGAGGACTGCTTACCACCAGAGTTTGACACTAGCTTGGACAACATAGCAAGACACTATCTCTACAAAAAGTAAAAAAAATTAGTTGGGCACAGTGGTGCATAACTGTAGTCCTGGCTATTTGGGAAGATCAGTTGAGGCTGGGAGTTTGAGATTGTAGTAACTTGTGATTGCACCACTGTACTCCAGCTGTAACAGAGTGAAAGACCTTGTCACTTTAGAAAAAAAAAAAATGGCTGGATGCAGTGGCTCATGCCTGTAATCCCAGCACTTTGGGAGGCCGAGGCGGGCAGATCACAAGGTCAGGAGTTTGAGACCAGCCTGGCCAGCATGGTGAAACCCCATCTCTACTAACTAAACACAAAAATTAACAGGGTGTGGTGGTGAGCACCTGTAATCCCAGCTACTCAAGAGGCTGAGGTGGAAGAACTGCTTGAGCCCAGGAGCAGAGGTTCAGTGAACTGAGATCGCGCCACTGCACTCCAGCTTGGGCGACAGGACAAGACTCCACCTCAAAAAAAAAAAAAAAAAAAGGGCCGAGTGCAGTGGCTCATGCCTGTAATTCCCAACACTTGGGGAGGCCAAGGCAAGTGGATCGCCTGAGGTCAGGAATTCAAGGCCAGCCTGACCAACATAGTGAAACCCCATCTCTACTAAAAATACAAAAAATTAGCTGGGCATGGTGGCGGGTGCCTGTGATCCCAGCTACTTGGGAGGCTGAGGCAGGAGAATTACTTGAAACTAGGAGGCAGAGGTTGCGGTGAGCCGAGATCATGCCACTGTATTCCAGCATGGTCAACAAGAGTGAAACTCTGCCTCAAAAATAAATAAATAATAAATAAAAGTTAAATACTGAAGTGCACTTGGATTAGGGATTGGTTCTCCACTCCCACTTGTACCCACAATTCCATGCCTTCCACATGCTGAGATTAAATCTCCACTGCAGACCTCACCTGTCTGCAGATTTACATTAGTTGCCTACCAGCATCTTCCCCAGTATGTCTAAAAGCCATCTCACTATCAACAGACCCATATCTCATCACCCAACTTTCACCTAAAACTAACTGCCTTGAGGTTTTCTCTGACTCAGTAGCAACAACACCATTTATGCATAGGCTAAAACCTTGAAAACACCCCAAATCCTCTTTTTCTCTCATAGTCTACATCCTATCCACCAGGAAATCCTGGTGGCTCTACTTCCAAAATATTTCCAGATTTTACTATCTAGCACCATCTCTGTTGCTACTACTCTGGCCTAAACTACCACAATTTTTAACTGAATTATAGCAGCAAGACCCTTCACCTGGTCTCCCTGTTCCTTCCCTTGTTCCCAGTGCAGTCCATATTTTTCAAACCAGGACCAGAGAGACCCTTTTAAAACCCAAGTCAGATCCTGTGCTTAGAATTCTCCAAAAGATCTACGTTCTGCTGAGGGTAAAATCTCAAATTCTTGCAATGGTTTGCAAGCTCTACAGGATCTGGCCTTAGCCCCGTTGCCACTCTTACCTTACTGGCCCCTATTGCCCCTTTGCACATTCCATTCCAGGCACACTGGCTCCTTGCTATTCCTCCAACAGGCCAAGAAAACTTGGTGCTAGAATGTTCTTCCCCCAGATTATTTTGAGGCGAATTGCTTTATCTTCTTCAAATCTCGGCTCAAATTGCAACTTGTCCACATGGATTACCCTGACCACACTATTTAGTTTTATTGCTACTCCGGCCCTACTTTATAGTTTTTTGTTTTTTCTGCAGCACCTATTGCTTTCTAATGAACTACATTATTTATTCTGTTAATTGTTTATTGTCAGTTTTCCCTGGTTAGAATGTAAGCTCCAGGAAGGCAGCAATCGTACTCCTGACAAATCCCGGGAATATCACCTGTCACAGGGTAGATGCTCAATACATATTTGTCAAACAAATGAATTCTGGAGACCTTGAGCAAGTTTCTCTGTTTGCCAAAATTCTTGGTTTCTATTTCATAAAAGATGTTTTCTAAATCCTGACAATATGGAAATATGTAGCTAAGAGCCCAACCTGTATAAAATTTTTGACATTTCCATTTACATCTAAAATCTAAAACATTCAAGGTTATTCTACACAAATCCTCAATATTCAGTTAAAACAAAAAAAAGTTAAAAGCTATACATACCCAAATAATTTCTTCACAACCCAGAAGCAGATTTTTAAGCATCTGGAATTGTGGAACTCTCCAGATGTTTATCTTGATAAAAACAGCAACAGTAAAAAAAAAATCCCAGTTATTGACTGAATGTTTCTGTTATTAATATTATTTTTATTGATAGTTGTTTTTGAGACAAGGCCTCACTCTGCCACCTAGACTGAGGTGCAATCATGGCTCACTGCAGCCTCAACCTCCTGGGCTCAAGTGATCCTTCCACCTCAGCTTCCTGAGTAGCTGTGACTACAGGCATGCACCACCATGATCAACTGATTTAAAAAAAAATTTTGGGCTGGGCATGGTGGCACACACCTGTAATCTCAGCACTTTGGGAGGCCAAGGTGGGCGGATCACGAAGCCAAGAGATTGAGACCAGTCTGGCCAACATGGTAAAAACCTGTCACTACTAAAAATATAAAAATTAGCCAGGCATGGTGGCAGGAGCCTATAATCCCAGCTACTCAGGAGGCTGAGGCAGGAGAATCGCTTGAACCTGGGAGGCGGAGGTTGCAGTGAGCTGAGATCGCGCCATTGCACTCCATCCTGGGTGACAGAGCAAGACTCCATCTCAAAAAAAATTTTTTTTTGTAGAGATGTGGTTTCTGTTGCCCAAGTTGGTCTCCAACTCTTGGCCTGAAGCAATCTTCCCGCCTCTGCCTCTCAAAGTTATGGAATTACAGGCATAAGCCACCATGTCCAGCATGTTTCTGTTTATTATTTTATTTACATTTACTAGGATCACTAACTTATATGGATTATAGACTGCCAATATTTCAGACTCATCATATAATGCTACCTAAAATTAAAGAATGTTATACTGTCAGGTAAAGCAAATGGCTTGAGGTCTTTGGAGTTTAAAAGTAACATAAACTCAAAAATAAGACTTGAAGGGAGATAACTGCAGATATTCAATATTTTTAAAGGTCTCAGGGTTGGATAAGCACTAATACAAAGTGTAAAAAGGCAGTTTTGACAGCTATCTTTCTTAAGCATATCAACAATGTGCCTGTGCAGTTGACATAAATGTACAACCTCCAAAGACAAAAATAATTTTTAAAACAATGCTAATTTTCAGACTAGAAATATTTTGTTTTTCTCAAATTGTACTCCATAATTATTTACTGAGTGTCTTTTGTTTGGTACTCTAAAAAGATGAAAGGGTAACACTAACATTTCTAAAGAATACTACTGTCTGTGGCACGTTAAAAGTTAGAATTCTGTTAGAACACAACGTGCTATGCTCATCCTAATTCCAATTTTGAATAGAAGTTGATGAGACCCATGGCCATAGTACCTGTTATAAGAAGACTGCATATCACTACAATAAAAATGTGGGCTCTGGAGGCCCAACACTCTGCTCCATCACTCTTGGGATGGCCATTTGTTGTTAGATGCCATGTGTCCCTGCATGGCAGTGTTAAAAGTGCACATTCCATGATGATTCCTGCATGGGGACTGGCCAGTGTGCTCTGCTGTACCTTGCTTGGCATGCTGTTTTGTTAGGTAGAGACTGAATTTACCACTGCACCAGGAAGGCAGCTCTCCCACTCATATTTGCCCTCACTATTGCCTTGCCTGAGTTCCACGTGCTAATGGAGGTTCCCCTTTCCGCTGTGTTCAGCTAAGAATGTTGGTTAAAACCGGGAGTGGTGGCTCACGCCTGTAATCCCAGCACTTTGGGAGGCCGAGGCAGGTGGATCACCTGAGGTCAGAGTTCAAGACCAGCCTAGCTGACATGGTGAAACCTCATCTCTACTAAAAAAAAAAAATTACAAAAATTAGCTGGGCATGGTGGCAGGCACCTGTAATACCAGCTACTCAGGAGGCTGAGGCAGGAGAATCGCTTGAACCCGGGAGGTGGAGGTTGCAGTGAGCTGAGATTGAGACACTGTGCTCCAGCCTGGGCATCAGAGTGAGACTCCATCTCAAAAAACAAGCAAACAAAGATTACAGAAAGCTCTAGCTATTTATAGTATACAAATTACTATGTGTCTGCAGGAATGACCAGAGTGGAAGGTGGGAGTAAAGAGATACCACAATCAAGTACATGTGTCTCTTTCTGCCTGCTTGCAAAAGGCAATTCTAGTTGACACCATCTTAAGCTGGAGGAGGTTCACAGACAGCTGTGCTTTATCTGAAAATTGTTTCCAATTCATCATAACACCCATTTCTCGGTCCCTTCTTTTACAGTTAAGCAGAGCCATATGGAAGAGACTGGGCAATAGATTTATTAAAACACCCTGTATAGGGAAGTCCGCACAGTGTCAATGCAGATACTACTTAGCCCGGAGCTTGGTGGCTGGGCTCATTTTCTTCTTTCCAATCGGAGGTCTCTGCCGCAAACATGCTCCGCCACATCTTAGGTCAGGCCAAGAAGCATCCGAGCTTGATCCCCCTCTTTGTATTTATTGGAGCTGGAGGTGGGGGAGCAGCCCCGTATCTCTTGCGTTTGGCATTGTTCAATCCAGATGTTTGTTGGGACAAAAAGAATAACCCAGAGCCCTGGAACAAACTGGGTCCCAATGATCAATATAAGTTCTACTCTGTGAATGTGGATTATAGCAAGCTGAAGAAAGAACGTCCAGATTTCTAAGTGAAATGTAAAGCTGCTTTAAAATGAAGGTCTTCCAGAAGCCATCCGCACAATTTTCCACTGAACCAGGAAATATTTCTTCTCTAAATGCATGAAATCATGTTAATGTAATCTATTGCTGATTACACTGATTAATAAATAACTGAAACTTGAAGAAAAAAAAAAAAACAACACCCTGTGTTACTGCTGTGCTGGTGGTGAAAAATGGGCCTCAGAAGTTGCCCATCCACAGGATAAGATAAATGCTGAATTTTTAAACAATCACATTTTTTCACCAGAGCCTAAGATTCATAACAGTTTTGAGCTTTGATATCATGAGTGAATATATCATGAAGAACTCCAAGCATAGTACTGTGCAGACAGGCCTGAAAACTGATGGCATATTTTTCTGGTATGATCATCTGTATCAAAAGTAACTCAAATGCTAGGTGCATGTACACTTAGGCAGCTTTCACTGATCTCTAAAAGCATGACATTTAGCTGTTTGGATACCAACTGTATCAGTTATTGTATATCATTAAGCACTAAATAGGGTCCTACAGCAAAACATTAACTTAAACATTCTTCAAGTCAGCCAAATAACTATCATTTTCCTGTGGTCAAATCTTGGTTTTTCCATTTACTGATGATCAGCTGAGTGAATGACTTACCTTCCCTGTACTTCAATCTTGTCATCTATAAATGAGAATTCATAGGATTCATAATAGTATCTACCTAGGTTGCTGTGAGGATTAAAGTATTAAATTCTAGAGAGCATACTACAACAGTAGCTAGCACATGGTAAACACTGCATGGAAGTGTGTAACTATCTGAAACTATCTGAAACTACTAACACGTAAATAGTAATGCTGCATGATGCCAGGGAGTGTTCCTTAGTCTCTGCCCCTCCAGCCTCCTAAGCCCCTTACTGGCTGCCTCCTTCTGGGCCTGCGCTGTCTGCTTATATTTGCCCTCACTACTGTCCGAGTTCTATTTTCCTGCCACTCAGCACTTGCTCATGCTGGCTTTAGCACCTGCTGTTAGCTTCACTGCCCAATGCCTCTGTTACTCTCTGGGATTACCAATAGACCATTCTGGATAAATTCTGGCAAAATCATGACTCTTGCAAACTAATATAATAATGAATTATTTATAAATGTACAGACCTTGTACAACAAGTATGAATCTCTTATTCAACAAAGATAGTAACAGCATTAGCAATGATCAAATGCCTAATAATCGACATGCAGTTGAATTTACTGCTGGTAATTCTAGTCCCAAATAATTTATCATAATTCTCCTCCAAATTACTTTCACAATATTTCACTTTCTTATAAATGTGTGTCCTGGATTCTACAAATTTTTTCATTTCTCCTCCATTTGACATTTCTTCATTTGCTATTATCACAATTGCTAGTTTTTGATAATTAGTCATTTTCTGAAAAGCACGTTTAAGTGCTTATGAACTTTTTGGGGTTTTTTCTGAGACAAGGTCTTGCTCTGTTGCCCAGGCTGAAGTGCAGTGTCACGGCTCACTGCAGCTTTGACCTTATAGGCTCAAGTGATCCTCTCACTTCATCCTCACAAGCTGCTAGAACTGCAGGTGCACCATCACACCCGGCTAATTTAAAAAAAATTTTACACTTTGGGAGGCCAAGGAGGGCAGATTAGCTGAGGTAAAGAGTTCAAAACCAGTTTGACCAACATAGTGAAACCCTGTCTCTACTAAAAATACAAAATTAGCCAGGTGTGATGGTGGGTGCCTGTTATCCCAGCTACTTGGGAGGCTGAGGCAGGAGAATCACTTGAAACCAAGAGGCGGAGATTGCAGTAAGCTGAGATCGTGCTGTTGCACTCCAGTCTGGCAACAGAGTGAGACTCCATCTCAAAAAAAAAAAAAAAAAATTTGTAGAGATGGGGTCTCACTATGTTGCCCAGGCTGGTCTCAAACTCTGGGGCTCAAGTGATTCTTCTGCCTCAGCCTCCCAAAGTGATGGGATTACAGGCATGAGCCACCATGCCCAACTACTTTTAAAAAACTCAATGTATATGCTAAGTTCGAGGTTAAAAAGAAAAAGAAAAAAACCTCAATGTATGATTTTAATATATCGTATCTGTATGCTGCTGAACTACTAACGCTCCATAAACATTAAGAATAGCCCGTGATCAACTGCAAAAGGAGTAATAAAACCTATCAAACTTTTACTTTATTCCATTCTTTTTTTTCCTTTTTCTCCCTATTTAAATGTACTGAGTGATAACTCCTTAATTAAAAGTGCCAGGTACTCAGCTAATTACTAGAGACAGAAAGACAAATAAGACACAATCTTTACCCTCGAGTAATTCATGGTTAACGGAAAAAAGAGACATGAACATTTCTGTAAGTACCTGGAATGCCGGTCTCACCCCTGCATCTATCCCCAGCTCACTGCAGCTGGGAAGCAAAGGCACCAGCCCAGGAATAGGATGATGAGACTGGAAGTGAGGCCGTGCAGGGGGAGAAGAGAAGAGGAAAGCTGGAGACGCGCTGAGGAGACAAATGGCAGGGGCACTAGCTGTAGAAGGCAGGGCCAAGCAGGAGGAAAGGACAACACATACCTTGGAACCTTGCTAATGTGACAGGGAAACAGTGCCTTTCACTTTAACAATGCAAGAAGAATACTGTTTTGTGTGTCATGATTTCAGGAGCCAGTGAGACTGTCAAAGATGCAGTCTGCTTGGCATTCATTAGCCTCAGCTATCCCTAAACACACCATATGCCCTCATTTTTCAATCTCATTGTTACGTGATTAGATATATTCCCTTTGGTACTTTTCAATTTTTTTTTTTTTTGAGACAGTCTTGATCTGTCGCCAGGCACCAGGCTAGAGTGCAGTGGCGCGATCTCGGCTCACTGCAACCTCCGCCTCCTGGGTTCAAGCAATTCTCCTGCCTCAGCCTCCAGAGGAGCTGGGACTACAGGTGCACACCACCACACCCAGCTAATTTTTGTATTTTTTAGTAGAGAGGGGGTTTCACCATGTTGGCCAGGATGGTTTCAATCTCTTGACCTCGTGATCCGCCTGCCTTGGCCTCCCAAAGTGCTGGGATTAGAGGTGTGAGCCACTGCACCTGGCCGGTACTTTCTTTAAACTACCATTTTATTTTCATTTTAAGGGAGTGGAGAAAGCCTATTTTCCTAATTCAGGGCCTATTATAAACAGGCTCTGATCCACTCATTGTATTTTATTGTCTGTGGTCTCAGTACTTGTAGGCTAAATCACTTGCCCTTCCTCTAAGAAGGGCTGATTTCCTGAATTCTGTTAATAGCAGCAACAAATATCAGCCAAGTGATTCAGATGGAGGGAGGAGGGGGAAGCACTCAATGAGAGCCTAGATAACATTTTTGGGTGTTTGCCGGTTCCTTCCGAACCCCATGGAGTTAACAGTCAGGTGAAAAGGCCACAGCAATGAATTCACAGCACATGCCACAGACCCTGGAACAAGTTTTCCTAAGTGTGTTCTGTGAAGTGCTGCTCTGACAAGAGGATCTCTCGTCTCCCATCACTCCTGGCCACATCCAGGATTCTGTATGAAATATCTGTGATTTGCCCAATTTTAAAGCTTCATCTTGTATTCTTATGATACTAATGGGGGCCTATTAGAGGCTCTGACAAGCTCTGCAATAGAAAAAACCTGCTTAACTCTGACGTCAGTGTTTGTCCGGAAAACCTTTCCACCACATATTATTGTAAGTCAACATCCCATCCGAGCTAGTGTATCTTGGAACGTGTTTTGGGAAAAGCCGCCCCAGGGACTCTGTCCTACGTTCCTGACAGCTATCTTTTGGCTGTTTCCCAGACCTTCCCATTGCCATTACTGGCACGTGCTCCTGACTTCTTGGTAATCATCTTGGCTGCCCTCATGACCTTAACTTTGAAATCATGAGCCCAAACTCCAACCTGCTCATGGCTTTTGGACCTGATTCCACATATTCCCAGCCTTGAGGCTTCACGATCCCACGGTGCTCTGACCACAAAGCAGCACTAGGGCAGGACCCAGGAGGCCTGAGTTCTATGCATGGAGTCTAAAAACAGAGTAGCCCTCAGCTTAAAAAATCAGATGAAACCACATTCTGTAAGTCTGCCAGTCTACTTTCTCTTCATTCTCTCTACCTCCCTCATTTCTCTCACCTGCAAAATCCCACAACCTAACAGACTTGGAGGCATGCAACTTTGGAACCACAGGAAATCTCCAAAGGAACTGGTTCTTTCCTTGAAGTGGTTATAAAATAACTCTGCATGCTGCTTTAAGTACAGGAAGCAAGCATAATAATTGCCAATATAGAGAACAGTAATATGGAAATGTAGAATAATGCACACAGCTTTATTTCACTGCGACAAGTATCATAAGATCTCAGAATACAAAAGAAAATGTCTGGCCTGTAGTTCTAAGTAGCGAACAGATATATTAGCCCTTTGCTTTGTTACCTCCTTGTGGGTTTAAATTCTAAGACCAGACAAAACACTTCATTTGATTTCACACTGAAGACCTATAACCCAAACACCCCCACATGCACTTATGTCCCAACAGAGTACTAGGGTATGCTCCCTGGAAAAATATCGTTTTCAAAATGGCCTTTTCTCAATTGATTTGTTTTCTGGACACCAGACAACTCTGTGTTAAGTGCAAAGTAACATATAGCTTCAGGCAGGGATACATCGATGCTGAGACATGTCCTTCAGTAGCATAACACTCAAAAATATTTATCCTCAATGTCACAAAAATATTAACAATCATAACTTGAGGCCAGGCATGGTGGCTCATCCCTGTAATCCCAGCACTTTAGGAGGCCGAGGCGGGTAGATCACTTGAGGTCAGCAGTTTGTGACCAGCCTGGCCAACATGGTAAAACTCCGTCTCTACTAAAAAACAAAAAACAAACTAAAAAAAATTAGCCATGTGTGGTGGCGTGCAGCTGTAATCAGAGCTATTTAGGAGGCTGAGGCAGAAGAATCACTTGAACCCAGGAGGCGGAGGTTGCAGTGAGCTGGATCGCGCCACTGCACTCCAGCCTGGGCAACAAAGACTGGGTCTTAAAAAAACTTGGGGCCGGGCGCGGTGGCTCAAGCCTGTAATCCCAGCACTTTGGGAGGCTGAGGCGGGTGGATCACGAGGTCAAGAGATCGAGACCAT